TGGTGAAAAGCACTTGTATACAGTAGTAATGGTCGAGTGAACAAAGCTTGGCATTCGAGAGATCCGAGATTGGGTCTGCGGGCAGCCGAATTGTTTTTTCAATAAATTTTTTTCTTTTTTAATTAAATTAAATTTAAATTTTTAGATTTTATAGTTAAAAAATATGAATATCTCTTTTTTCAGTGACCATTTGATTCTGATTAAATAATCTTTTATTACACTAATATATAAACATGCCGACCCCAAGCCGGCATTAAAAACGATTGTTTGAAAAATATGTTTTTATTTATTTTATTTTATTTTTTCAATTTAATGTTTAGATTTTATTGGTTTAAAAATATATTTTTTAATTAAATTTAATTTTTATAAACTTTTGTTTCTTTCTTCTTTTTGGAAAAACATTTTTTGTTACTTTTTTACAAAATTTTTAGAGTTTATTGTTTGTTGTTTTTGTTAATTTCATTTAATTTTTAGGAACTTATTTAAGTTTTTCGTTTTTTGATTTATTTCTTTTTCTTTTGGTTTTTAAATTATATTATTTTAACAACAAAAATATTTTTTGTCAAGTTCTTTAATTTTTAGGAATATATTTTGTTTTTCAATTATAGAATTGACAGTTGTCTTACGTTAGACTTTTGTCTTTTGAAAGACTGTGTTGAGCTGAAAGACAGTTGTCAGAATAGCCCTGTTAAAATATAATAAATTTCATAGTTCCCATGGAAGACAGGTACCGTTTTTTTGTGTGCGAAGTGATGCACCGTAATGTACATAATATGCAAATAAATAATATGCTAACAAAGTAACTATACAAATTTTTCTCAAATTTTAATTTTTTATTTATTTTTTTTAAAGTCAAGCCTTCTACTAGAGGGTAATATTTATTGCACTCATCAACACTTCACACGATATGTCTCACTTATTTAAATTTGTCTTAAATTTAAAATTTATTTTAAAAGCTTAGGCCTCTAGCAAGAACAAAGGCTGCATTGACACGCATCTACTTGTACCTTGGACAATAAAAAAAAAAACACACAAACACATGAATTCATTTCAAAAGAAATCGAAAGTGATGTGTGTTTCTAAGTATTCATTATCTTAGTTTTTCTTTCTTCGCTTGCCATAGAGTGTAAAATATTAGCGATAGCAACAACTTCAACCGCCAAAGTCAAAGCAGACAGAAATGAACAAATTGACACAAATGGAGCATCAATGATGGCAACAGAAGCAGATGTCAAAGCAACAGCTGAAGAGACGCTATAAACGCAATTATGAACGATTGTTAAATGGCCTAAAAAGATGTGAAATATACGAAAAAGCAATAACAAAAAATAAAAATAAACTAATTAGAGAGTGGCACTGTTTGACGTTGGATATTTTGAAAAATTTAATCAGTTATGCTAAAAATAACTTGGCGTTTTTATTCATTCATCACTGCAAAGCATTTAACAAATTTAAATAATTACATAGATTTGCATAAATTGCT